TTCCAGCTATATGACGGCGATCTAATCCAGGGATTGACATCATGAACATCGATCCACATAATTGAGTGAGTGAGTTAAAATTTAACGTCGCATCGGCATTATCTCAGCCATATAGAGAAATTGGGATCGATGACATGCAACAACCAAGTCAGCGAGCCTGACCACCCGATTCCGTTAGTCGCCTCTTTCGACAAGTATAGTCGCCTTTTACGGCAAACATAGTCACCTTTTACGGCAAACATTTAGGAAAATGCAAACGCGGAGACATCTTTTTTTAAAACGATGGTGCCTTTTGGCTATTTGAATTCAGTAATTCTATAATTGTGTTCAAAATATGTCCCCAAATAGGTTAGTTATATAATAGGTGTTAAACATTTACGTTTAGTATACATGATCATCTGTAAAATTTAATATAAATGTTGAGGGTGCTTCGAAATTGGCGCTCTCTTGCGCCACCCACAATCCACCACCTAAAAACCAGGGATCTGCGTTCGTGCTGTTGCTATCAACAGATAACGATTCATCTGGCTATCAATAAGAGTGATTCACCATGTCATTGTACTTTAACATGCGTATTATCATGACTCTAAAGCCTTCGGCATACTCACAGTTATACACTACATTGTTCGTATAAGACATAGTCACACCAACGTTAGAAGGCTAGTTTGGTAGCATATTTTGCTTATTTCAAAATCGCACTCTACACACCAAGTGGTCACCACATCATGGCTCATACATATACATGTAATATGCTTTCTATCTTAGTCAGACTATCAACACATTGTCCTGACACATATAGTACGTACATACTAAACACACTATCCAAGGCCGGATGACAAACGCACTATCGTGACTAGCACCCAAACACACGCACTAAGTACACACTATACACACCACCCACACCTGATGACCCACAAATTATCCTGTCCAGCACCTAGCGCACACATATTACGTGCACATTATACACACTTTCCATGTCAGATGACCAGCACATTATGACACCTGATGACCCACAAATAATCCTGTCCAGCACCTAAAGCACACACACTAAGTACACACTACACACACTTTCCGCATATTCATAAGAAGTCTCTGACAAAAGCAGATGTTCGCGAAAAGGTGAGCCCCATTTGTGGCACCTGTCACAAACACATGCAAAGGCAAGTCGAGAAAAGTTCACCTCGATACAATTCTGTATCGGGAATCATATCGGTTTTCATAACGGTAATTGTAACAATATTTCTGGCGTGAAATCAAATAGCCCACTAACATATAGTATGTTTCGTCGCCTTTATTTCATATTATGAACCTTGACCATTACCCATTATTTGAGAACAGATGTCTCTTAATTAATGTGTCAAGTGGATAAAGCGCGGGAGGCCGCTGGTTCGACATGCCGTCCAAAAAAGGCCTGAAAAGATGGTACTTGTTGTTACCCTGCCTGGTGCTCGGCAGTGTGGGGTTTAAGAATGACTGGACGGCTCAAATTCTTCATACTGTATCTGAGATGGGTATCCATGTTAAACCGCGACATGGTATCAGAGTGGGTTACCAAGTGATACACACACACGCGCGCGGAGTTTGCACATCGGATTATAAGTGCACTAAGCTTAAACGTGACGTAAAACCCCATTTCACCTGTAGCTCGACTGTAATGCACGTTTTATAATTTTCAGTTGATCTCGGAGAAAGAGGTATAATAATAATTACTCCATCGTACGATGAGAGTTTAACAGCTTAATCACCGACTGCGAATAATTAGTATAAGGCCATATATAATAATACCAGTGACATAGTCACCTTCTTAAAGAAAACTAAGAGTCTTAATAGAAATAAAATAAATTACGTCTTGCAACGATGTATTTTTTGGCCAGGCAATAAAGTTTTCAGCAGTCTGGAGCAAAATTAATTTTTTCAATGAATTTGTTTTTCCGTTTGTGGAGGCCACCCCCACTTTCTTGTACTCCCCTTGCTGACTATGAAATGTTTGTCATTTTAGTGTGTGAAATATTCACTCATTAATAGCAATTACATCAACAATTAACAATATGTATTTGCTGCTAGTATACAGAGTGAGTGAGTGAGTGAGTATGGTTTTACGCCGCTTTTAGCAATATTCCAGCAATATCACGGCGGGGGACGCTAGTATACAGAAGGCACAACCCCATTTCATTAAATTCAAACTGTGACACCTTTTATCTAGCGCGTCTCACCGGGTTGTTGTCTACAGCCGCCTTTTGACAGCACGGTCATCACCTCATTGTTGAAACTTCTTTGAACTTTAGGTTACCCTTGGGAGTGCACAAAAAGCGTCTTATATCCTTCTCAAGAATAGTTCATGACTTTAACACGAATGGAACGTGACGATGGAACGTGTATATGTATGTATGTATGTATGTATGTATGTATGTATGTATGTATGTATGTATGTATATATATATAGTTACGCGATAAATCGCAATGAACAATGGAGAACGAAGCGTGGCTTATTTCATGATAATACATTGTTCTACCATGACGTCATTTCTGGGGATTCGAACATGCGCCCGCAGCTTGATGACGTCGTATATTGGACGACGTTATTTTTGAGAGGAATGTGTCTTGTGAGATGTTCCCCGCAGAAGTAGCTGGGCAACGTAGATAAACGCAATGGCCGAACGACCGTTTCCAAAAGCGGGAGAGATATGACAATCGGTATTTGGAGAAAAGGTATATGTAATCGACGTAAGGAGTGAGAATATGCGGGAAATAACCACCTGTGCATTAAATGGAATTGTCCGACATTAAATGGAATTGATCTATTGAGGGGGTCATCATTTATTTATTAAAATACGGCTAAATACATGTGTTTACATTTTATCAACATCATTAAATAGGCCGTACATAATGTCGATATCTCATATAAGAAATGAACGACTCGTAGCCGTTGTTTATCGTACAATAAAACAGAAATTTAGTGAACTAATGTCCTCCACAGAAGTTCAAATCGGTTATAACATTTGATTTTTCAACTTTGTACACCACTATCCAACATGACAAACTTAAGTTCAAACTTCATTCAATGATCCATGGGGCTTTTGTTACAAAACGTGGTGACCATAGATACAGGTACACATCTGTCTTCAGAGGTTCAAGACAATTTGTCAAAAGAGAAAGAAAATGTCATCTGATGTTTACTGAGAAAACAATATGTGAAATGCTGAGCTTTCTCATTGATAACATCTATGTAAAATTTGGTGGTAAGGCATTTAGGAAAGAAGTGTAGGCATCCACATGGGTACAAACTGTGCTCCACGTCTCGCTCATCTGTTTCTTTATACATATAAATCGGAATTTCTGCTCGGATTGGCAAATTCACAAACTTCTGCTTCGGGTATGAGAATGATCTGATATCGTTCAATAACCCTCAAATAGCCAATTCCCTTCCACTGATGTTGCCAGCTGATCTACATTTCACAACTTTTGAGGTAAAATCGAGCATGCTCTTTTTTAGGTGAACAATTGACTTGGGTTTGCATGTGTTTGTGACGCGTGTCTGATATCTGATAGTGATTCATAAACACATGCTTATTATACAGGCGGAACCGTAGAGTCGACTCTGCTTTTAGCAGACATTTCTTTGGGCTATGGAAAGGGTTCTGTCGCTCATGTACTATTAAGTATAGAAGGGGATCATGAAATATAAATGTTAATACCTAGTGTTAGAACAAAGATAAGTGTTGCCAACACACATCCTGTGCAAGAACCTTCATGTCCGTAAAACCTCACACAGAAACATATCCTACAGTTTGCACGTTCCTCAAGCAGTAGCGTCACACAGGTGCATAGGGCGTCATTCCTGATATTGACGATTTCAAGGAAGGTCAATTTTAATCATTGATTCTGCTTATCTGACAGTTATGATTTATAGATTTCATTCATTGTTTGTGTATGAATTAGCCATGTGGCTTCTGCAACGCGCGGAGCGTCTATGGACTATTGACATGCCGGAAACTGGCAGAAGACAACGTGCAGTGGTCAATACGTTCGATGTCTGTGATTACATGCAGCTCTTTCAGCTCGACGACCACGTGTTGTGGAGGCAAACGTTTGGTCTTTCAGGACGACTATGCCTATGCTCACCGTGCACGACTCGTCAATGCTCCCCTCAAACACCACAACATCCATAGAATGCCCTGACCAGCCCTGACCCATTGAACACATCTGGTAAATGATAGGACACGTGTGAGTCAACGTCATAGGCCGCCGACCACGTTGGCTGAACTTGGCAAGGCGCTGCAAGAGGAGTCGGTCAGAAAGCATTACTTCGCCACTGGAACACTCATACAGAACATGCCTCGTCGAGTGAATGAATGTTTGACAAATAGTGGCGGAATTACGCAATACTGATCCGGTCATAACAGCTACTGTCATACTTCAGTGCCGACTGTAAAGTGTTCCCAATTCGTTCATTATTATCATACAACCATTACGAGAAACTAATATGTCAAACAATTTGGATATTGTTAGTTATCTCAAGGTACCCCCTACTTTTATAAAGAGTATTTATGAATAAATCAAAACCTTTACCTCAAAGGGGGCACGGGTGGCCCAGTCGTCTAAAGCGCCGCGATTCGCTGTGCAGAGTTGCGTCCCTTGGGCATGCCAGAAACCTATGATTGTGGGTTCGAATCCCGGTTTCTAGGTTTGTCAGCACCATACCCGTGCTCGTGGGTTTCACTGAAGTGGTAAACCTCTGAGACCTGCATCACTTCGGGCTTTCCTCCCACATTAAGCTGACACGCCGTGATATAAGTGGAACACTGTTAAAAGCGGCGTTAAACCCAACTCACTCACTCACTCCTTTACCTCAAAGAGACCGGTGACAGTATTCGGCTGTCCTCTCTGTCATTGACATGCATATGTCCCATACACAACAACCCGCCGTGGCCCGGGAAGACTCACAAAGGGAGAAACAGCTGACTATACTGTAAACTGTTTCTCCGTGTGTGTTGTGTCACTCCAGGACACTGACTTGCCAGCATGTCTGAGGACTACAGCATCTACACTGGACAGAAGAAGACCTTTACTATCCCCGACTATGTTCTTTTCAGTCTCACCTTGGCAGTTTCGGCTGGGATCGGACTTTTCTATGCCATCAAAGATAGAAACAATGTGAATTCAAAGGAGTACCTTTCAGGCGGTAAAGATATGTCTGTCCTCCCCGTGTCCATATCGCTGCTGGTGACATTTCTCTCTGCATTGACGTTGCTGGGGACGCCGGCTGAGATGTACAAGTACACGACTATGTTTTGGTGGTTATGCCTTGCATTTATTTTTGCAATGGTCATTGCCTCAGTAGTATTCATTCCATTCTTCTATGATCTGGACGTGACAAGCGTATTTCAGGTGAGTTTACTGTCAAATGATCTTTAAACATACGACGTAACGGTAGCAGGTAATTTGTATGTCAGCTTAAAAAGAAACTGGGTTTCCCAAGCATCATGACTGTTATTCCCGTAACGGATCAAGGAACAAGCGGTAAAGGAAATATAGAATCGATCAGACCTTGAAATATACTTTATAGACAACTTGTATATAAATCTGATATATGTGCAAGAAAAGATGAGCGTATCCTCTACAGCGACTAACGGGATCGGGTGGTCAGATTCGCTGACTTGGTTGATGCATGTCATTATATCAAGATCATACATACAGTAAGGTACGTTGATCTACTTTTATACATACAGTAATGTACGTTGATCTGCTTGTATCCGTACAGTATAGATCTTCTTTTATACATACAGTACGGTACGTTGATCTATTTTTAATCATACAGTAAGGTACACTGATCTGCCTGTATATGTCAGTAAGGTACATGTACGTTGATCTGCCTTTATACATACAGTAAGGTACGTTGATCTGCCTTCATACATACAGTAAGGTACGTTGATCTGCCTTCATACATACAGTAAGGTACGTTGATCTGCCTTTATACATACAGTAAGGTACGTTGATCTGCCTTTATACATACAGTAAGGTACGTTGATTTGCCTTTATACATACAGTAAGGTACATGTGTACGTTAATCCACTTTTAATCACTGGATTGTCTGGTCCAGATTCGATTCTTTACAGACCTTGTTTGATAGGCATTATTTAGACGTTTACAGACCGCCGTCATATAGCTGGAATATTGCTGAGTGCATACAGTAAGGTACGTTGATCTCATTTTATACATACAGTAAGGTACGTTGATCTGCCTTTATACATACAGTAAGGTGCGTTGATCTGCCTTTATGCATACAGTAAGGTACGATGATCAACTTTTATACATACAGTAAGGTACGATGACCTGCCTTTATACATACAGTAAGGTACGATGATCAACTTTTATACATACAGTATGGTACGCTGATCTGCCTTTATACATACAGTAAGGTACGTTGATCTACTTTTAATCATACAGTAAGGTACGTTGATCTGCCTTTACACATACAGTGAGGTACGTTGATGTGCCTCTATAGACACAGAAAGGTTTTCCCTTTGAACATATAGTAAGGTACGTTGATCTACCTTTAATCATACAGTAAGGTACGTTGATCTACTTTTATATATATAGAAAGGTTCGTTGATCTCCTTTTGAAGATATAGTAAGGTACGTTGATCTACTTTAACGCACACTGTGAGGTACGTGGATCTTTTATACGTGTAGTAGTCTAAGTCGACTGACAGATTCTGGGTACTTTAATAAATGAATCAGCTTCTTCATATAACTAGTTGATGGTCTAATCCTACATCTTCAATTACATTATCGTACCTTTTAACATTACCATGGCAACCAAAATGAATTTTTCAATAACACATGATTAATACAATTTTAATACAATGTATAATTATTTACAACATGTAATTTTGAAGATATGTTGATGAGATTTTATGTCATAACACTGAATAATTATCACGATTTCTTTCTGTTCTCTTCAGTACCTAGAGCTGCGTTTCAGCAAGCCTGTCCGTGTTCTCGCCTCCCTGATCTACATTTTGCAAACTGTAAGTCCACAGTCCATTCAACACACACTACAACCTGGTGACGGGATGTAACAATAATACATGTGTTGGCACACTTCGGAAGTGACTTCACCAGCTCCAACTCTCGTATCAATAACTTGGCGACCTCCTCCGTGGTATAGTGGAAGAGCGTCCGCCCGGAGAGTGGAAGGCCCGGGGTTCGGCCGCGTCATACCTCAAGACGTTTAAAAATGGTACTTGATGCTACCCTGTCTTGCGCTCGGCATTAAGGGGCTAAAACAAGAACTGGTCAGCTCGGAGTCAGTAAAGTGTGTCTGAGTGGGGTATTCATGTTACACTCCGGCATGGTATCTCAGTGAACTAGCACTATAAATCGGCATCAGTCCGGACGAGTACAAGCAGCCACGCTATATAAGTGCAATAATCTTGGACGCGACATTAAACCCCATTTCACCTCACACCTCATTTACTTGGCACAGAACCCCTCTCGCATGTTGACGAATGGGTTTAACGCAGATAGCAGAATAGAGTAGAAATATAATACACTGGACGATCAGATATTTTCTGTGACGATATCTCAACATGTGACGATGTCTCGACGGTGAGGATCGATGTTGACATTGTGAAACTATGCGATACCGCAAATGATTCTTATGTCTATGACTTAACATGATATATATTGTATAATATCACTACTTTAAAATAGTTGATTACAACATCTATATACTCACACAAGAAAGAAACGCACAGGTGATTTTCTTTTTAAAAAATCTGCATATTTCGCCTAAAATGTTGGATAAAGTTATTTATTTCACAAAATGTTACTTTACAGTGTTTTCTTATTGGATTTCATCGCCCAAACAAATCGTTTGGTAATTCATTGACATTTGAAACGGATTTTTTTAAAATCCCAAGAAATAAGCGTGGAACAAAATCTGCTTGCACTTCGCACGTGGTTTCTGGGGGAAAAGAGTGTAAAAAAAAAGGGTTCTTTCGGTCAACTGACTACTGTTCCTTGAACTATGAGTAATTTTCGATATGCGACAACTGGACCCTGTGACTCGAAATAACGCCATCGGTCGTAGAGAGGCTGGGGAGTCTCAGACGTCAGTTGCCGGTTAATTTTACGTCCACCACAGCACAATTTCACGCCTTTGGGACAGATACCAACGGTATAGATTCATTCGGGTCTTTCATCTACGTCATCGGACCGTTACAGCGACAGACACCACCTCCAATATGCCTGCTCTACGTATGGTGTAGGCGCAAACAATACGTAATCGTCTTCGTGAGCTTCTCGCCCGAAGACCATATTGCGGCGCTAATTTACGACGTCAGCACCGACATGTACGTGTTCGGTGGTGTGTGAACGTTAGGCATGGAATCTGAGACACTGGCGTGGGGTTTGGTTCAGTGATGAATCTCGTATTTTACTGCAACGTCGAGATGTTGTCGAAGTGGCCATGGCTAGTTTCGGAGGTGACAGTGTCTTGATGTGGGCAGCAATAGCCTACACCCGTAGAACCAACCAGGTGTACGTGCAAAGCATTTTGGCAGAATTGTGTTACCGAGAATGAAATTCTCCAACGTCTCAACGAGAGATTTCTACAGAAGAACAACGCCCGCCCACATGTTGCACGTCACTATGGTTTCGGTACAGAATCAGAACATTACAGTGCTTACATGGCCATCACGATCTCCCGACTGAAGTGAATTGAATATCGTGGCATGAACTCGATCGCCGTGTCCGACAACGTCAACCGCCGCCTCAAACGCTTCCGCAACTGAACCAGGCATTGCAAGACGACTGGACACGAACACCACATGATCGACTCCAGCGACTCATTCAGTCAATGGGTTGGCGTTGCAGAACAGTGATACAGGCCAATGGAGCTCACAACAGGCACTGACGTTAACGCTGCCATATCACGCTGTGTGATCTTTTGTGATACAATCATGTCGGTCAGATTTGACAATAGTCACAATGATTTTCATCATGCGAAGTTTGACATGCATAGATATTTGCTTCGGTTTAAAAATAGTATTTCACATAAAGACGACGAATGTAGATATTTTCACCTGTCTGTTTCTTTCTTTCTTTCTTTTTCTTTTTTGGGGGGGTTGGGGGGACTATATAATAATAAGTGTATACAATGTAATTATATTATGTGTTTTTCCGTTAGGATTCAGTGCAATATCATTTCAATGTGACTGTATTTACAGTGTGCGTATATGTCGTTCGTCCTCTATGCTCCATCGCTGGCTCTGAATGCGGGTATGTTTTACGATTTGACTTCAAAAGGTCTCCTAGCGTTATTTAATAATAATATATTTTCGTGATTAGAATATGGCTTCTACTCTTTACTTACTGATGCTATTGGTAAATGTTAAATGTAAAAACAATATAAAAAATCAAAGAAACTAATTGGAACACTTCTTAAGAACAGAATTCGCTAAGAATATACGAATTAATCACCCCTGCTTATGGATTAATTTAATCATATATTGTAGCCTGGGCTGACGCGTTTTAGCATATATGTGGACGCTGTGTTGATTTTCTTTTAGTGACTGGATTTGATTTATGGGGATCTCTGGTGGCTGTTGGAATCATTGTGACGGTGTATACAGCTCTGGTAAGTCGTGCTTTATTTGCATTGTTAAACTATTGACAGCTCTATACTGTAGTGATGCATGAGATTGTATCACGATGACCATCAATCTCCAAGCAGCCTGCGATGCCCCACATGATATACCATTAGACCCATTACAATTCACCGTGACTTGGGTCTTACATTTATACCACAATCTTATTAAACTCAGATCTTGGTTCTAGGTACCTCTAAACAAAGATCTCAGGCCATATCATCCGACCAATGAGAACGCCTGTTACCAGAGCAAGAAAGTAACAGTTGGAGTGTGTTTTTAAATCATGCAACATCGAAACGTAAACACGGAGTAACGACGTATTCCGTCAAAATCATCTCTCGCTTCAATGGGATAAACATCTAACTGAAGAAACTTTCCATAGCCCGTGGAAGGTACTGCCATACAATTTCGGCCATCTATTAAACATTCAAGAATTTTCTTTTATTCAAGTTTTCAAATTTTGAATAGATATTTTGCAAAGCGTAGTCTAAATGAAATTACTCAGATTGACACTAGTGCCGTAAAGCTCAAGAAAACTGCTTTCTGATTGGCTAATGTTCTCGTCTTCGTAATAGTAATTTGATTGGTCGGTCAAAGTTCGCGAAAGGTCGTTCTTACGTGACCCGTCATGGGGTGTCCTTAGACTCTCTTTAGCTGTAGCAAGAACAAAGATCTGCTTGTAATGAGATTGGGTTATATCACATCATGTCAGCTTAACGTGGGAGGAAGGGCGGGTGGGGTAGTGTAGTGGTTAAAGAGTTCACTCATAACGCCGAAGCCCCAGATTCGATACCATGTGTGAAGCTCATTTCTAGTATCTGACGCCGCAATGTTGTAGCGGCATTGTACAGCCAACAGGTCACAAATCATGCGAAGTTAAGAAACGTTGGTCGTATGTGGATCGGATGCCGTGTTCGGCAGCGGATGTCTTGAGACTTTCTGTGGCTTTGGTCCTACACTAAATGGAAACACGGGCTTCATGCGGTGTCTTCCAACTATGCCTGTGTTCGCCTCGTAATTGGATGAGATTGAGTTATGTGACTGTTAACCTTCTCACCCCTCTTAAGGCAGTGTACCCTGATCCATTGACCTAATAATAATAATAATAATAATAATAATAATAATAATAATAATAATGTAGCGTTTTGAGCATACTTCAGAGGGATGGACTTATTATTATATGGGATGGACACATTATTGATATCACTATTAATATTATTTTATTTGTATGAATCTGGAATATTGCTAAAAGCTGTGTGAAAGCATAATCATTCACAAACGTATTCGTGTGTAGGAACGACCAAATTGATTATGTTAACCACGAGAATCGTTGTGGCCCTGAGAAAACGAGATTCCCCAATGTCTACTGCAGCTCCGTAACATCTATTCCATCAGCCTTCTATGTGTTTCAGGGGGGCATGAAGGCTGTGTTGTGGGCAAACACCTTCCAGGCGTCTGTCATTTTTGCGGGGTTGTTCGCTGTCCTCATCCAGGGTTCCATCGTCATGGGTGGCTTCAAGAACGCCTGGGACATCGCCGGGAATAGATCAAGGATTTACTTCCACGAGTACGTTTGAATGATTGGACATCAGTCATAAAAAAATCATGACCAATTGTTTAGATAATTACTACAGCTCCACCACTCCTTTTGTACTGTCTTTGTTGCAGCTTCAGCTTTGACCCCACTACCCGCCACTCTTTCTGGTCGGTTGTTGTGGGCGGGTCCTTCTTCTGGATGTCACTGTATGGAGTTAACCAGGCTCAAGTTCAGAAATCCTTGTCTTGTCCATCTGTATTTAAAGCCAAACTGTGAGTATGACGCAACATACAATTTCGCAATTAAGAGCGAGCCAAAGTAGAAGGAACCTATTTAATAAATAAAAGCGACAAAACCTTTCCATGATCATAAGAAATCTCCATTGTACGATTCGGACTGTATCATGTGTTTATAATTCACTGTCAAAAAGTGATTATACCAGTTAGACGCGAAAAGGAGAGCGTATCCTGCCCCACCGAATGCACCCGTCACAAATACGTGCAAGTCAATCGTTCACCTGATAAAAACACATTGGAGGAACACATTGGTACAAGTCAAAACAGGGAAATGCATCGGACATATTTGTGTCATTGATGCGTCAAATTTCGAAATGTCCTCCACATGTCAAGTTTTACTAATGGCTTGAATGTTGTAAACCTTGACCAAAGAGCTGCATTCATCGTATTACATTTTTTTAAATATTCGTGGAAAGAGCCATCTTCCCGAGGCAAAGGCGTTAACTGACTATAGAAGTCCAGTTTTCACCCTTACGATGAGTATTTTTTAATATTGGCTAGCATTGTGCACAACCACCAGTGGCTAAAGTGATGACGTAAATCCTGCTGGGGTATCATGCAGGAAACAGAGGTACTGTAAGTCCCCATGATCCCCAGCGAGGTGGCCTAGCTTTGGTTATTGGTTATTTCGCCCGTGTTTTAAAACTGTATATATATAATATTGTTATGTCCAAAAATGTTCCATGAATTGTTTCTAAATAAAGTATGCTCAAATATGTTTTACAACTTGTTTTTAAACAAAACTTTGCATAAATGACGAAATGTAAATATATTAACTTGGTCTCGTCGCTATATGGCTGAGATAATGCCGATAAATTACGTTAAAATTTTAACTCACTCACTCACTCACTCACTCACTCACTCACTCACTCACTCACTTACGGCACTAGACTTGCATTCCGGAGTTACATTTTGGTTGCACTAACGTGTCTATGCATAGTTCAATCAAAATCGCGTCACGAACTGGACATCCGGTGTCCAATAAATTATCGATCAAATCGTCTTGACGGGGCGCCGCCCTTTTCTTTGTAGCAAATGCAAGTGATGGAGGTGGAATCTGATTGGTTAATAGGAGAGATATAGACGGGACATAACTCGTAATAGCCACTGGTGGCACTACGATAGAACCTGGAAATTCCAGGCTAGTTCGGCAAGGAAGGAGACTGGACTTTTTTTGTCAGTTAACGCCCTTACCTCGGGAAGATGGGAAAAAGCATACTTAAGTGAATGTGGAGACCAACAAGGTAGAGAGCTGCTGGAAGATTGTTTTACATAGAGGGAAAGGTGACTCATGGTCAGTTGAAGTCAGTTCTCTTGTCATACAGTCTTGTGGATAGTGTTTTGTCACTCTGAATTTTATTTACGACAGTCCACTCAACGATGACACCCACGTTATGATCTTGAATCCATTGAACAAACATGTTACAGGATAAATACATGAAATCTCAGAGATTTATTCTTCAGAAATCCAATGAATGCAATTTGTTAAAGCGACTTGTGGATTTATGTAAAAGTAGCAAAACTATTCCATAATCATACGAAATCTTTGCTAAGAGTAGATCTAGAGATAATTTCCGCTAAAATGCAATCATAGTGACCTGTGGATGTATGCAATGTGTCTCGTCCGCTTATGAACCTCATTGTTTATAATCATGTTTTTTTTATTTCTAAGGGCATTCGCTGTGACCTTACCAGGCCTCATCCTCATAGTCAGCCTCTGCTGCATGATCGGCATCGTCATGTACGCCTTCTACGCCGACTGCCACCCCATCAAGTTCAACAACCTAATCAGCAAAACAGATCAGGTAGGATAAGAGTAGAATTCAACAGAAGTAGAATTAAACAAACAGGGATAATGAACTTATTTCGAACGACGCGAACCATGTCCAGAACCATGTTTACTATCAACAGTTTTCTATCTCGCTACACACTGCTAAAATGTCAATTCTTTATCTCAACACAGTGGTAATACCTCAACTCTATTTTTTCACACACTAGTAACATGTCAACTCTTTATCTCCACACAGTGGTAACATGTCAACTCTTTATCTCGACACACTGACGTATCAACATTTTATCTCGACACACGGGTAACAGGTCAACACTAACTCTCGACACACTGGTAATATGTCAGCTCTTTATCTCAGCACACTGGTATAATGTCAACTCTTTATCTCCACACACTGGCGTATCAACATTTTATCTCGACATACGGGTAACAGGTCAACACTATCTCTTGACACACTGGTAAAATGTCAACTCTTTATCAGGGCATACTGGTATAATGTCAACATTATCTCTCAACACACCAATAAAATGTCAACTCAACGACTTTATCTCGACATAAGATTCAACTCTTAATCGAGACACATTAGTAATATGTCAAATCTGTTTTGCTACCTACAAGCTTCACTATGGTCGCCACAGCTCAGGATTGACGCGATTCAGTTGCATTTCATACCCACGTACGTGACACCCGTCCTATTATCGTGTTTAGAGCAAATGCCCTCAATGAGATAGACATGTGAAGACAGTTAGAAGCTAAGTCAACAAGCATTGAAACGTTCTACGTTAACGTTATTCGATGTTTTATGCAAACGGCTGAAAGAAGATCCAGGTGCCACAGTGCTCTTTTGGATAGTTTCAGTCACTTAGTCCGACGCAGATTAAAGTGTTAATACAATATCCATAACCTGGTGACAGTAATGTCAATGCCACAGCCACAGCCACATTCACTTTAAGATGTGATTATGATTCAGAGTAGGACGTGAACTGCATGCATATTTTGCTGCCTTGTTGTTCAGTCACGTCAATGAAGTCATTCACACGACCAGCAGTATTTATTTGAGCAGTGCTATCCATCAATGTGGACAAATATAGAGTGTTGGCATATTGTATGAGATTGTACGCTCGCGATAGAAGACTTTCCATATATACGCCAGAGAAAGTCTCGTTTATCTGCCGAGATATATTCCATTGATCGTAAAAAATAAAATGGCTGTGAACAGATCATTGAAAGTCAGCGATTAAAAGCTGTATATGTATACTGCACAGAAAACACACAGATTGTATATTATTGAAATATTACACAAAAACATTAAATTAGGAAATGCTAAATTAAAATGAAAACTTCAAAGATAATATTTTTCTTTCTTAATTGTATGATTTGCATATTCAGCTCCTGCCATTGTATGTAATGGACATCTTGGGCCATATTCCCGGAATACCTGGAGTGTTTGTGTCTTCTCTCTTCAGCGGAAGTTTGAGGTAATTCGTTGCAGTTCGACTTTTCACGATTCTTAATCAATGGCATGCTAGCCATCAACCAAAGTATGTCAAAATATAATCACAGATGGCCCAATCGCCAAAGGCGCTGCAATTCGCTGTACAGAGTTGCGCCCCTTATGCATGCAAGAAACCTGTGGTCGTGGGTTCGTAGTACATATTCACCCTGGCAAGGTTGTTTTTGGTTGTTCGCACCATGCCGTGCTCGTGGGTTTCACCAAAGTGGTAAACTTCTACGACCTGTATCCCTTCATGCTGACATGCCATGGCATAAATACAGATTAGTCTTTAACAAAATATCCAAAGCAAAGAACTTATTCACAATTTGCGAGAAATGATGTTAATCGTTATTGTAACTGTGTGTACATTTTTTTATAAACAGTAATTGTTTCATAACGCCATTTGTATTTTGTTTTATAACAGGGAGTTAGTCTTATTTATAAACGCTGCTGATCAGTCGAGCAAAGAAGCTTAGTGCCATAGTATCATAGGTGAGGTGAAATGGGGTTTAACGTCGCGTCCAAGACTATTGCACTTATATAGCGACGTGCATGTACGTGTGTCTGTTTGTGTGGCTGCTTGTACTAGTCCGACTGATGCCGATTTATAGTGCTAGCTCACTGAGATACCATGCCACAGTTTAACATGGATACCCCACTCAGACACAGTTTACTGACTTCGAGCCGACCAGTCCTTGTTTTAGCCCCTTAATGCCGAGCGCCAGACAGGGTAACTACAAGTACCATCTTTTAACGTCTTTTGGTACGACGCGGCCGGGGATCAAACCCCGGACCTTCCGCTCTCCGGACGGAAGCTTTACCACGGAGGCGGTCCCATAGTATCATAGTATCACAGATGCATGATATACAGTAGTAGCTAACAATGATATGAGATGGAAAGGGGCAAAATAACTCCAAAAATCTCCAAAAATGGAGATCGATTGACCTTGGTGATTATTTTTCACCGTATCCCGTTGTTCACTGGTTTGTCTGGTGTTATGTCAGGATGTGTGATATGGCCGTTCTGTTGTGGCATATCAGTATCTTTTCGCCTGTGAGACGCTAGGCTAAACCAGGAAACAAAAAGAAGACCACTGATATACAACGCATCGCATTGACAAAACCTGTACATGTTAGTGCGTTCGGAAGAATAACGGAATATGCAACACACAAATACATCTATCCTGGGCTAACATTTGGATGTATGTAGGCCCACATATACTATATTGCATGTGCATTACACAGATGTGCACATGCGAGGCGTGGCTGAACAGTTCTGAGGATAACTGTGAGTGGTGTTCAGTACGCCCTTGATTGTGAACGTATTAAGTACAATACTGTCCATGCCTACAGACAGCATTTGAATCAAATAAACAGCCAGACAGAATATTTCAAAGTGTCTAGGTATTCTCTGTTGATGAAAATGCTTGGTTGGTTGGTTTCTTGTTTAACGCCGCACTCAGCAATATTCCAGCTATATGACGGCTATTCTGCTGGCCGGCCATGGTAATATTAACCCATTGATATTACCCAATTTCTTATGGGCTGCACTAGGATTTTTTCAAACAGATATATTGAATTAACCCAGAGGGTATATATAAGACGTATATATAGCCTCCCTGTCTAAACCCATGACCTCTGACACAGTATATCCGTTGCATACACGTAAAGATATTGAATTCCATTGATTAACCAACATCCAAAATGTTTTGGTTTTTTTGGACTACAAAATTCATAACTTTCTCTCTCCCTCCTCAGCACCATATCCTCCTCCTTGAACGCCTTGGGAGCTGTTATCCCCTGCGACTTCATCAAGCCATACTGCTGCCCCAACCTTTCTGATAGGGCCATGACCATTCTTTCGAAGACCATAGGTTAGTAGACACCAACACATTTCCATGGAACCGGAATTAGTAATTTAACACTGAAATTCATATTTTATTTTCTTTGACGTATAATCTGAAGGTCATAATGTCATCTTGTCAAAATCATGTATTTGAACATCATTTTGTATGTAAAGCCTACTGAGCGAAACCATCATGAAAACAATTTGTTTTAAGAAATCGTGCTGTCTTCACTACAAAAATATCCCCACAAATATTCATGATCCATAACTTTTTATGTTTAGTATACTTATATCGTATGTAAATGCAACCTAAGAGTATTGGCGCCGTCCCATGTGCACGCCAGGAACCTATGATTGTGGGTTCGAATCCCGGTTCGCCCCGATTATGTTTCTAGGTTTGTACCATACCCGTGGGTTTCACCAAACTGGTAAACGTCCGAGACCTGCATCACTTCGGGCTTTCCTCCCACATTAAGCTAACACGCCGTGATATGACCGGAATACTGTTAAAAGCGACGTTAAACCCAACTCACTCACTCGCTTTTCTGCTTGGAATATTATGAGGATAACCTCTGAATATGATCTCCAAAATGATAAACGTCTTCGACCGGCGCTGTCTTTCCTCGCTCGAGAATGATATACTGTGTACTGATATACTATAGTGTTAACCCCACACCCCTCTCGCCGATAACCTCTCCCCTCGACAGGACAAAACTATGAGTTACATGGGTCACTAGTGCTGAGTACGTGATTTTACAAGCTGAATTTATACATGTAACGAATGTACGATCACGAGTTCACAAGTTACAAAACGCCATCAGACTTTCACCATGTAACCCGAAGTGCGACAAGAAAGTGACGCCACATCAAACATCTTGACGTCATGACCTCCAGACTTGTATTGGTTGTTACAAGACAGTGACTAGCCAATCACATAGCTGTATTGTTTAAAGAGTAATTAATAACATATCACGATCCCAGTTCGTATTCAAGTTAACTGCATGAACAGCGTTTTGTTGCACTGCCTGAACCTTGACGCTACAGCTACTTATACAAAGACCGACTCAAACTGTCCAAAAGGTTATCTCTTCGAATCTGTACAAAATTAACCGCACTATTGTAATTTAAAGCTGTTATCCATATGTTGTAAACGGTTTCAAACGCGTGGACAGGGGCCTTACACCTTAACCTAGTTTCGTAAGTTACTTTCAGCTGTTAGAAAGCTCCGCATGAGTGAGTGAGTGAGTTGGGCTTAACGCCGCTTTTAACAGTATTCCAGTTATATCACGGCGTGTCAGCTTAATGTGGGAGGAGAGCCCGAAGTGATGCAGGTCTCAGACGTTTACCACTTCGGTGAAACCCACGAGCACGGGTATGGTGCTGACAAACCTAGAAAGCCCCGCATGAAGTTCAGAACGGACAGCCAAAATACAATAATCATAAGTATCTACTCAGTCACTTACAATCTTTTACCAAGCATATTCAGAATCGGCTAGTACTGTTATGCTTGTGATTGAGGAAAGTGCGTTAACTATTTCTTGGTTTATCATGTGCAGTATCTAATATTTGCCTATGTATTTTTGTAGTCTTCATATTCGGGGGTGTTGCTATTGGCCTGGCCGTCCTGGTGTCTCAACTTGGGTCTGTGATGCAGGTATGTTCACAGATTACAGACTGCCAATTTTAACTGCAAACGACTGTGTTAGTGTAACGAAGTATGTGTTGTTAACCAGATGCCTCTGCCTATTTATATCAAAGACCCCTGAAGATTCAGGGGCACAGCTGATCCTCGGTACACGCGTGTCCTTAGATTGACATGAACTGTCTGAATGTTGTATAACACCGTCGTCATAAATAATCTATGTTTAGCACAGCCGCCTGTAAGTAAACGATACTGGACCCGGCAAACCAGTGTCTGAAAGCATGAGAAACGACCGACAGCCGTGTCAAGGCCATGTCATAAAGCATGAAAACCGGGTACCTACGGGGATCGGAACACCCGACTAACATGTTGGTTGTTGGTTTGTTGTTTTACGCCGCACTCAGCAATACTCCAGCTATATGACGGCGGTCTGTAAATAATCGAGTCTGACCAGACAATCCAGTGATTGACATATGAGCATCGATCCACGCAATTGGGATACGATGACATGCATCAACTAAGTCAGCGAGCCTGACCACACGATCCCGTTAGTCGCCTCTTACGACAAGCATAGTCGCCTTTTACGGCAAGCATGGATTGCCGAAGACCCACTCTATCCCGGATGGTTCTAATGTGCATCACTGTGCGCCAACTTTGTTTATGACCACTCACACCTGGCAGTGTAATATTGGTAACTGAAACGTAAAACTTAATATAGTCTTATTTTGACGTTTGGGGGATTTCGGGTGATGTGATTGGTTTATTTGCTGCTCAAATGACACGTTCATTTTCATAACACACTTTACAAAGTATACACTTCACCTTTTGACGTTTTCACGATTTGTTTTACCGGTTCTACTTTTCATTGGGAATCCCCGAGTTAAACATTTCTCTGTTGTCTCACTTTCTTGCCACGATCTTGAGGATCGGCAATATAGGACAATATGTTAACATCTCATGTTAACTTATTTACATATTCAAATTTGAATTTTAAAAAAAGCATATTAGTGATCACGAGAATCTGTCTTTGTTTTATCAACTCACCACTGATCATTCTGAAACGTCATCGATGACCCTAGAATCGCTGAGAGTGTTTTGGAAAAAACGCAAACACGAACGCCGAAGTGAACTTTCCGCAATATTGGATAGCGTTTACAAAATCCCGTTTCACGTTTGCCGGTTATTATAACATCGCGTATATTTCAAACTCAGCTGCGATACATATATCCCTTTATTCCTCAAAGATTTTAGAATCAAATGATAATAAACGTCAATAATAATCAAATGTTTCCGTCCTGACTGATGACTGATGTAAAATCACGTAGAACGACAACGGTATTTATCGTCATTTTTTAAGTTTTTCTTTTGGTTTCAATGAAAACACACAAAAACGAATAACAATACGTAGATTGTCAGAATGTTTCTGATTACTTACGTATGTACGATTCCTAAATCAACGAAAGTCCTCTCGTAAAATCCCGCAAACAGTTGACACGCAATTTCAGAAAAGTCGATCACCGGTTGTGATGTCATACTTAAACATTGTACATATTTGGTAATTTCTTTGAGAAAAAGGTCGGGTGAAAAAAGTGAGTCATTTCCGGTGTTATAATAATGAGTGTGAGTGACTTAAAATTTAACGTCGCATCGGCATTATTTCAGCCATTTAGCGACGAGACCAAGTTGATATTTTAGATTAATGAAGTAACTCACATGACACATTCGACCATATCCGTTAAATTCCGCATTTCGCCGAGCTAGAACACCCACTGTCGCCACAGCGCGAGAAACATGGCTGACAGTTGCATTCGTGACCAACTCGTGTCATTCCGGGACAAGCCGAACAGCGACTCGTGCCCCTCTAATGTCCATTTTTGCGACCGGGTTCCGTCTTAGCACAAACGGACATACCTAAAACAATTGTCAACTCGATGCGTAATGGTTCACATAAATTTCCCCATATATTTTATATATTTTAGATACAATTTAAAGCACATTGGGACTTGTGGAATTATACAGTATTATTGAACACATTTAACTATGTATTGGGTATATTTTAGATGCAAGACTTATGTAAAATAAAAAAAATATTCCCGAGGGATTCTTTGACGGAGAACATGAAGTCATACGCGCATTCTGATTGATTTGTCGTATTTTCGCACGTAACATTGGGGGGGGGGGGGGGGGGGGGGGGGGGGAGGGGGTAAACCACCACAATATGAAAATCATTTCTAAACTGCCCTTTAATCTATATTATTGTCCAAACAAACCTCTTCTGGAACTAGGAATTACAATGGTTCATGACTAGGAACTACCAATGTTGCACAAAGGTAGTCAATGTTTCTGAAAATAGAAACATCAATTTGGAAAGTTAACATAGAAGCTGAAACCACGACAATACCCTGTTCGCAAAACAATTACACCTCAGGCCCTCCTATCTATTGGAATATAAAGCATTGAATGGGTTTCAAATGAGATGTCCTTGTAGCGTAGCTTCTGTATTGGAACCGAAAACATTTACTGCGCGAACGAAACGAAACATTATAACTTTGACAGCGGTCGTTTGCGGAATGTTGGTTAAAGTTAATGACACCAGGTTTTCGCGAAAAGGGTAAGCATGTCCTGCCTTACCGGTAGCACCCTCCACTCACTAAATATCTTTCTTTTTTATTAAAACTGAATTATTAACTAGTACAGAGTAAGACACTGTAAAAGTATTTTACGTATAATATGAAGCATTATCTACTTTAAAGCTGTTTGTCTGTGTTATTAGACTGTCGCAAATGGCTACAAGATTTTTTATGGGGCGTGAAGCAATTATTACTCACTCAGGTCCAAATAATTTTGAAACAAATTTCAGGTAGTAACGAAACTATCGTTAAATGTCATTAAATACAACAATCCAACAGCTACCTCAAATCATATACTTGTCCATGTTCCAGACCTCCTACACTATCTACAGCATCCTCAATGGACCGTCGTTTGGGTTGTTTGTTCTGGGCATGTTCTTCCCCTGGGCAAACGCATGGGTAAGTATTCCCACAGGTTGACATAATATGGATGACCTGTCCTTAACGTATCATAGATCGGATGTTTTGGGGAAACGTTATCTGTTCAAATAGGGTCTTTCAAATTAAAAACATCAACGCCAAAGGATTTTTTATACGCGTGCCCTAGTCCAGCTATATGAGGGCGGTCTGTAACTAATCGAGACTGGACCAGACAATCCAGTGATTGACATCATGAGCATCGATCCACGCAATTAGGATACGATGGCATGCATCAACCAAGTCAGCGAGCCTGACCACCAGATCCCGTTGGTCACTTCTTAAGACAAGCATAGTCGCCTTTTACGACAAGCATAGATTGCTGAAGACCTATTCTAACCCGGATCTTCATATCTTCATGGGTTCAAAATATAGTATACAATGTACGTATTAATGTAAAAACGCTTGTGAAAATTAAAAAGAGGACAGTTATAGCTATATGTCCGCACTTTTCAGGGAGCGTTTGTTGGTGCTCTGACCTCCCTGGTCTTCATGTGCTGGGTCGGATTCGGTGCATTCGCCAAGGTTTCCACTGACAATTCTTCCCCTGTCTTCACTCACGGCTGCAACTGGTCCGTCACAACGACAGCGATGACTTCCACCACAACACTAGGGACTACAACCACATCCGTGATGACAACGGTTGCAGCGTCAAGGTATACAAAGAGAATCGGTTTAAACATTAACGTATCTTTCTCTGATGAACATGTAGGAATCGGGTGGTCTGAGGCTCCCAATTCGTTCAGGTGTACCCGGACTCGCTGGTCATTTGCCCGTGAAATAGTGACCCACGTATATACCTGGAATACTGTCCAAAACGGTGCTACACAAGTGCATTTATTCATTCACCCCAACACCCAAACTTGCTCACTCACATGCAAATTATTTGTTTGTTGTTTAACGCCGCACTCAGCAATACTCGAGTTTAAATGACGACGGTCTGTAAATAATCGAGTGGACCAGACTATCCAGTGCTTGACATCATGAGCATCGATCCACGCAACTGAGTGAGTGAGTTTGGTTTTAACAGTATTACAGTTATATCACGGCGTGTCAGCTTAATGTGGGAGGAAAGCCCGAAGTGATGCAGGTCTCGGACCACGAGCACGGGTATGGTGCTGACAAACCTAGAAACATAATCGGGGCGAACCGGGATTCGAACCCACAATCATAGGTTCCTGGCGTGCCCAAAGGACGCAACTCTGCACAGCGAATCGCGGCGCCTTAGACGGCTGGGCAACCCGTGCCCCCTTGGGATCGAATACATGCATCAACCAAGTCAGCGAGCGCGACCACCCGATCCCGCTAGTCGCCTCTTACGACAAGCATTGTAGCTTTTATGGCAAGCATGGGTTGAAAAGAGAAAGGTACACCTACACCCGTACCGGCCCAGGATGGCGACGTGTACTTCTAGATGTATACATCAACTTGTCTAACATATCAGTGTGACGCTATAATAAGCAATTCATTCATTGTGTGTAGTTCGTTTTAGATCAACGCTTTTACCGCCTTCCCCAACTCAGTTGGGTGTTGGGGTGGCCTTGTGGTTCAAGGTTAGTGGCCTTGTGAAAAGGTTGGAATATTGCTTAATGCGGCGCAAAACCGTACCAACCTAATGACTCAATTCAATCTAAATCCCTCACTCAATATACCTTGGTGCTCCCAACCCACCCGACTTCAATTTTCAAACATCAATATGATCGAAGTGTTTAAAAACATAAATTTTCTGTTGCGTTTCGTTTACAAATTCCTTCTGTCCAGTGATCCGTTCATTCCGGTATGTTTCTATGTTCCTGCGATCCGTTCACACTGACGTACATATATTCCTACAAACAAGCGATCCATTCACACTGACGTACATATACCCTACAAACAAGCGATCCGTTCACACTGACGTACATATATCCTACAAACAAGCGATCCGTTCACACTGACGTACATATATCCTACAAACAAGCGATCCGTTCACACTGACGTACATATATTCCTACAAACAAGCGATCCATTCACACTGACGTACATATATCCTACAAACAAGCGATCCGTTCACACTGACGTACATATATTCCTACAAACAAGCGATCCGTTCACACTGACGTACATATATCCTACAAACAAGCGATCCATTCACACTGACGTACATATATTCCTACAAACAAGCGATCCGTTCACACTGACGTACATATATCCTACAAACAAGCGATCCGTTCACACTGACGTACATATATCCTACAAACAAGCGATCCGTTCACACTGACGTACATATATCCTACAAACAAGCGATCCGTTCACACTGACGTACATATATGATCCTTCAAACAAGCGATCCGTTCACACTGACGTACATATATCCTACAAACAAGCGATCCGTTCAAACCGATGAATACTTACCAGAGATTCGATCTTACCGATGTGTTCCTATTTGTCTATGATCGTTCATACCGATGTGTTCCTATTTGTCTGTGATCGTTCATACCGATGTATTCCTATTTGTCCGTGATCGTTCATACCGATGTGTTCCTATTTGTCTGTGATCGTTCATACCGATGGGTTCCTATTTTCCAGCAATCCGTAAATGCCTGTGTACTCCTACATTTCAGCGACCCGTTCATACCGATGTACAAGTTATCTTATCTCTACTACACGCCGACGGCGATGGCAGTGCTCGTCATCGTGGGATTGTTCGTCAGCCTCATCACTGGTCTGCTACTGAATCTATTATTAACCAGTTGTCATATATGCTAAACATGTCGATATTTGCTGTCATTAATATATTGAAAACATTACTAAAATAATATTAGATGCCAGATTTAATGAAATAAGCCAAAATGAATGCATCATTTTAGTAAGTCATTTTGGTAAATAGAATTCATCAACTTTTTAATTTTTTTGTCACAAATGCATTGACAAGCTTTATTAATGAATAAGTATGCAGAAAGTAACCACACCTATCTTATAGCTCTTAATGTTTTCCCAACAAATAATTTTAATTAGTCATTTTGGTAAATAGAATTCATCAAACCTTTTGTCTTTTTTTGTCATGTTTAAGGTTTGCAACGGCCAGAGAGTATTGACCCTCGTCTTGTCTGTCCTCTGTTTGACCGCCTCTTCCCTTGTATGCCAGAGATGATACTCAGACCTCTCAGATGCGGGGTCAAACATAAGAGGGTAGGTCACAGCATGCATGTAACGTAATCTCATCAAATGTACACATGTTTATGGCCTCAGGCCTTTTTCACAGAAATTTACCAGGAAGTCAGTGACAACATTCCGTGTCTATTCCACATCACTTTCACTTCTATCAGCATTGTTAGGGTTGAGACATTGGTCTTCTGATGCACATTTGCATGCACGAGTACAATGCACAAGTGCATTGTCTTGTCTGACAGCGACATCCTGACTTCAACCGCAAGTCACATGTTGAACACAGGCTGCAGAAACAGCAGCTTTGGTTGTGTTTCGTTTCGTTCGTTTAATTGCTGTTTAACGCCTCACTCGGCAATATTCAAGCTATATGACGGCGGTCTGTAAATAATCAAGTCTGGACCAGAAAATCCAGTGATTGACATCATCAGCACCGATCCACACTCAATTGGGATACGATGACATGCATCAACCAAGTCAGCGAGCCTGACCACACTATCCCGTTAGACGCCTCTTACGACAAGCATAGTCGCCTTTTACGGCAAGCATGGGTTGCTGAAGACCTACTCTTACCCTTGATCTTCACGGGTCTGTTTGCTAAGAATACCATTCTGGACGTACGTGTTTACAGTAATTGAGATATAATGCCACTTTAAGTAGTATTTAAGTAGGCATAATGTTGGAGGGATGCACTATGAATGACGTTTACCACTTTGGTTAAACCTGGAGACATAAGTCAGTGAAGATCCGGGAAGAATAGGTCTTCAGCAACCCATGCTTGCCGTAACAGGCGACGAACAGGATTGGGTGGTCAGGCTCGCTGACGTGGTTGATGCATGTCATCGATACCAATGGCGTGGACCGATGCTCATAATAATCACTGGATTGTCTGGTCCAGACTTGATTATTTACAGACCGCCGTCATATACATGTAGATGGAATATTGCTGAGTGCGGCGTTCAACAACAAACCAACCAACCAAGATAAATCAGGGTGGATCTTGTGAGGGACGCTACTCTGCACTAACGACTTGTCTTTCTGTACTCTTTCTATTGTACAGCAACATTCACATAGGTTATTAACATTAACCCTTATATTTCATCTTCAGAAGTACAGGAAACAGGATCTTGAAGAACCTGACGAGTTACCGGAGAAGATCCAGTCCGATCACTACGTCGTTGAGTCGCCCGCAGACGTAGAAGCAGGTGACGTGAAAGGTGGCGCCATTGATCGATGTTTTGACCCGATAGGCGAGGAAACCTCGAAACCGGAAGAATTAGTTACACATTTGTAAAAGGTGTCTGGAATACAAACAAGAAGAGAATTGTTTGAAATCACAATTTCGTTTGTTTGTTTTTTGTTTAACGGCGCACTCAGCAGTATTCCAGCTTTATGACGGCGGTCTGTAAAAAAATCGAGTCTGGACCAGACAATCCAGTGATTGATATCATGAGCATAGATCCGCGCAATTGGGATCGATGACATGCATCAACCAAGTCAGCGAGTCTGACCACCTGATCCCGTTAGTCGTCTCATACGACATGCATAGTCGCCTTTTACTGCAAGCATGGGTTGCTGAAGTCCTATTCTACCATATTGGGAATTGCATTGGACATCATTTGTGTTCATACTCATGCGTCCCCCACATGTATACCTTAAACGTTTTGAAAACTTTGTTGAGGGATTGCATGTTGTAACCTTGATCGAACAACTTTTGAGCAAAAGTTTCTTTGAAATCTTCGCGGAAAGAGCATGCTTGATTGTATCTCAACATTTATGCAATCAAAGGCTGGACATCAAAGGCTGGAGCATATTGTTCAACACAAAGGGGCAGTTGACAGGTGGAAAGTTGAAGCCATTCCTCTTGTCAGTCTTCAGCAACCCATGATTGCCGTAAAAGGCGACTATGCTTGTCGTAAAAGGCGACTAACGGGATCGGGTGGTCAGGCTCGGTGACTTGGTTGATGCACGTCATCAATCCCAATTGCGTGGATTGATGCTCATGATGTCAATCACTGGACTGTCTGGTCCAGACTCGATTATTTACAGACCGCCGTCATATAGCTGGAATATTGCTGAGTGCGGCGTTAAACAGCCAACCAATCTTGTCATGCAGTCTTGTGAAGAGCCACTCTGAATCTTTATGCATAGATATTAAATATCAAACAGATGAGGTGGTTTCGTTTGTCTCTTTTATTTCTAGTTCAGATTGGTAAGTCAGTTGAAGGGACTTGGCTAAATAACAGTTAGTAACTATATCGATGTACCTTTAGCTAAAGTTTTTGGATTTTGCAAATCTGAGCCGAAATTCCAAATGAATTTATATCCTGTTTGTTTGTTGTATAACGCCACATAAGGCAATATTCCAGCTATATGACGGGATCGGGTGGTCAGGCTCGCCGACTTGGTTGATGCATGTCATCGTTCCGAATTGCGTGGATCGATGCTCATGTTGTCAATCACTGGATTTACAGACCGCCGTCATATAGCTTGAATATTGCTGAGTGCGGCTTTAAACAACAAACCAACCAACAAGCCAACATGTGTAGATCGATGCTCATGATGTCAATCACTGGATTGTCTGGTCCAGACTCGATTATTTACAGACCGATATCATATAGCTGGATAAATGCTGAGTTGATTAAACAACCAACCAACCAGAACTCCACTGGTGCGTGCTCGGAAGAAACATATTCATCCGTCGTATTGTAATTAGAAAGTTAATTGTGAGACTGGATTTTGAGAAAAAAGTTACATTTTTAAAAGTGCTAATCAATTGACAACACAATTTGATTCTTCTGTGCCTTTATTTACGTAAATTACCATTACATAGAAAACAAAACAAAAAATGAGCAGGTCTCAAACATGAAACATGAAAAAAGCAATATTTTCTCAGAAAATCTACTTATCAAAATCAAACTATGCACTGCACCTGTCCTATTGGTATATAAACTGTACCCCCAATCGGAAAAGAATCCATGAAGTAATTTTTAAGTAAAAGGTTGCACAAATGTTAAAGTAAAAAAATATTCAAGTTCAAAACATAAAAAAAATCATATTTCTTGTTCAGAAAATACACATATCAAAATTAAACTTTGAACTATACCCTCTTCTATTACCATGGAAAATGATCCTTAATTTTAAAAAAGAATGCATTAGGTAGTTTTCCAGTCATAGGTCGCACAAATGTTTCAGTAAAAACATTCTAAATCAGGAAATGAAGAAACGATGTATTCTTTTCAGAAAATCCAAATATTGAAATCAAACTTAGCACTGCACCTCTCCTATAACTATGAAAAGAGTTCACCAAGTTTGAAAAGAATCTACATACAGTAGTCTTCAAGTTATAGGTCGCACAAAGAATGACGGACGGAATTCCTTGATGTAACTATAGGTCAGGGGTATAATAATCCTATACGAGTAACATGCAGAATATATGTATTGTATTAGCGAAAAATATAACCATAATATATACTTTAAACTAATTATTACAACGGGACTACAGAAAGCGATATTTAAAACAAGATAGGTACAATGTACATGATATTTGAAAACTAAAATAAACAAAAACTACTTTCAAACAATTTTTTGTGTACATAGAAGTTGTTAAAAAATAATCTGAACGAAAATATACTCACAGCCAATAGAAACGCGAACCATAGAAACATAGACAAATATCTACGTAAAGAAGAGTGAGTGAGTGAGTATGGTTTTACGCCGCTTTTAGCAATATTCCAGCAATATCACGGCGGGGGACACCAGAAATGAGCTGCACACATTGTACCCATGCCGGGAATCGAACCCGGGTCTTTGGCGTGACGAGCGAACGCTTTAACCACTAGGCTACCCGAACGCCCCACGTAAAGAAGAGATGTTTCCAATGTGTACCACTTAATGACAAAACTTACAATCATTAAAGTGTCTTTATTCTGATCACTGTAAACGTGCACTCTTGATATGTCGTCTAATAGGGCTCTATTCCTTGTCATTACGGTTATTTATATCCTTATTTAATTAAAGATAAACACACTGTGTTTTCAATGTAGAGCTAGCTGTTGACTTAACCGCGCCAAATTGAATTTGGAACCGAACGCACAGCGTGACCTAGCTCTACATTGAAAACACAGTATGTTTATATCCATTCTACCATGACTGATATAATTATTTAAATATTGATACCGATAATGACTGAAAATAGTACCTCGTATTCTATGACTATTAGCTTCCGCGGCGATGCGGCCGTCAAACCAGCTGTTTCAATCAGAGGGGGTTTAATGTGATTTGATAGCCTCTGATTGACCAATCAGAATCGAGTAAATTCCAAATTCATGGTAGAATAAATAGTTTATAATCAGAAGCATTGAATCATTATTAAATAACAAGAGAGTTTCAGTTTCATGATACACATACTTGTCTGTAACTATGAACATTAAACTGAAGACAACACGACGGTTGTAAGTTTAAATACATAAATCTGTCAGCATGTTGAAATCAGCTGTGTCCTGGATTGTAAGAGATTGTTTTTGTTCCAACTAATGGTAAAGATTATGATTCTACAAGCAATGGAGTTTATGCGACTGACACCAGCTCGTCACGAAGGCTGTATAATGTTAATATGTACAGACGTTTGTCACTGAGAAGAAGCTAGCAGGACAACAATTACAAAAACAGAATGAAATGATTTGGGTAATGGCATTACAAGTACAGAAATATTAATTTTTATGATAAAGATGAAATTGTGATTTCAAAAATCTATGTGTAACAAATTCTTCCGGTTCTGAGGTCTCCTCGCCTATCGGGTCAAATCCTGGATTAATGGCGCCACCTTTCACGTCACCTACTTCTACGTCGACACCATAGTAATCGATAGGCTGGATCTTCTCTGGTGATTCGTCAGCTTTTTATATATCTGTTTCCCGTTCTTCTGGAACTTAAGTGAAAGTTTAACTTTGATATTAATAGGGTCATATTAAAGTGAGTGAGCGTAGGCATTCTATCAAAGAAGTAAACGTGAGTGAGCGAGTTGGAGTTGCTTTTAACACTATTCCAGTTACATCACTGCTTGTCAGCTTAATGTGGGAGGAAAGCCCGAAGTGATGCAGGTTTCAGACGTTTACCACTACGGTGAAACCCATCAGCACGGGTATGGTGCTGACAAACCTAGAAACATAATCGGGGCGAACCGGGATTCGAACCCACAATCATAGGTTTCTGGCGTGCCAAAGGGACGCAACTCTGCACAGCGAATCGCGGCGCCTTAGACGACTGGGCCACCCGTGCCCCCTCATATTAAAGCAAACCGGGACAGTATAAGAAGAAGATACAAACATAGGAACGTACTCAACCGGAGAGACTAGCTACCGGTCATATTCAGTTAGTCACATAGCACATAGGCTGATATGTCGGTACTCCCCTTCACCTATAATTGTTAAGTTCGTCTGTAGAGTGAGTGAGTGAGTTTGATTTTACGCCCTTATTAGCAATATTCCAGGAATATCCGGGACACTAGAAATGGGCTTCACACGTTGTACTCATGTCGGGAATCAAACCCGGGTCTTCGGCGTGACGAGCGAACGCTTTAACCACTAGACTACCTGACCGCTCCAGTTCGTGATAAGGACCTGATACTTAAAACTGCAAAATCGGAACTAAGGTTGGTTGGTTGTTATGATGATTGGTTTAACGTCGAACTCAGCAATATTCCAGCTATATGACGGTCTGTAAATAATCGAGTCTGGACCTGACAATCCATCGATTGACATCATAAGCATCGATCCACGCAATTGGGATACGATGACTTGCATCAAGCAAGTCAGCGAGCCTGACCACCCGATCCCGCTAGTCGCCTCTTACGACAAGCATTGTCGCCTTTTACGGCAAGCATGTGTTTCTGAAAACCTATTCTAACCCGGAATCTTCGTGGGTCTGGTATAGTCTGCTCATGCTGTCAATCACTGGATTGTCTGGTCCAGACTCGATTATTTACAGACCGCCGTCATATAGCTGGAAAATTGCTCAGTGCGGCGTTAAAACAACAAACAAACAAGATAACAATCCGCCCCTGACACTGATATAAACACTGATATATGTTACATTTTAGATATATATAATATACTATCGGTCAGATGGCCTTGAATTCTAAATAAACTAAATCTGGATCTGACTTCACACCCGTTCAGAATGCAATTATAAGAACATATAAAAAACAATTCAATGAAAATGGATGTGGCAACACTACAATCGATCGCTTATGGTATTTTCAAAATGGTAGAAGAACGATGGAAAATATATTTCATTAGTTTCATTGAGAGGTGTTGATGGGTAACAAGTCTATTGTGTATTTCTTTTCATGGTTTGGGTATTTTCACAAGGGGCGACTATGCTTTTTATAAA